AACTTTATCTGGCTCTACTCAACCTTTCAGAACTCCATCGCCTAACACTTGCTCTTGTTGTGCTTGTGTCTTCCGAGATTCTCTAAAAATCAATTTTTTTCCTTTTCATATACTCTGCTATGTCATAACTCTTTCCTACGAAAAGTTCACCTTGGTATTTGAGGGAAGATTAAGATAGAAATACAGTTCATTTAAAATACAATAACATGATCAAAGAAGCCTCCAAAAGGTCTAGCATTTGTCTGAAACCACAGAACAGATCATTTCCAGTCCACTTCACTGCCCTGGAGATCATTCTACCTATCAGCACAGACAAGGCAAAAATAGAACATGTGCTTTTTTCAGCTGCTTGATAAAAACTAAAGTAGAAAACAATAATGTTACTGTGACTACAGATGGTTGGGGATGGATGTGAACTATCCTTCTATGGACTTTATCTATCCTCAGTTCACAAACATGATTCACAAAGCTTCTGGGGAATAACTGCCCAGCTTTCAGCCGCTTAATGCTCCTGCCACATCCAAGTACAGGCTCTTGAAAATCTGAAGTTCCACATCTGCAGGACAAAGCCGATTTCTCCTGCATGCTGCTGGAGAAATGACCTGACCCTACTTCAAATCCTAAAAGACAAATCAGCCAGCCAGATCTGGCATCTTGTTCAGAATATATTTAGACCCAAGTCTGAAGGTGGTATTTGAGTTTGTACCTTTTGGGTTGCACTCATATCCTCTGCTCCCCCCATCCCTCCCCCAAATATTTTTTTTTTTAATTTTTAAAACTGCTCTTTTATACTTCTAACACTATTCATTCTGTTTATCAAATATGTCATCTGTAGAGTAAGATACCTATTCATTGACCAGTGTAACCTTAACCTTATCCCTCATGACCATGTACCTTAAGCCAGGTTATTTCCACACTTCTGATAAAAGGAAAGGTTTATTGCATAGCTTTCCTTCATATTTTTATTTTCTCTCTATATTAGTCATTTGACTCTACATTTCTTTTTGGGCAGAAATATTCATGCATTGCATTTCAGGACAAGCAGAAAGACTACAGAAATCAAAGAGACAGGAGGGTAAACATAAACAGAATGCTCAGGAAAAGAACTGTACTAAGTATACAACAAGGGGAGTAAAATTAAATAATAGTAATTCAAAACAAACACACACCACCACCACCCTGAAAAGCCCAAACAAAACCTGCATAACCTACTTAATCCAAATGTATGCTAGAAGAATGTAGGATTCTTTAGGCATACTGATCCCATTACACCACAGGACTTTAACATATAGGCATATTCACGTTTTTCTCCAAAACCAAGCTCCTGACAGTGCTGGAGACCAGTAATTGCTCAAATACTATCAGTCTGTATGAGAGACTTTTTCAGACACTTCTCCCTGCTGTTACCTGCTAAATTGTACATAATGCAACAGCCAATAAAATCTCTGGTTATTACCTATAAAACTGCCTTCACCCAAGTATCATCTGCCTAGCATTCAGATATTCAGTTAATTTTTTTACATTCTTCTGTGAGAGAAGTTCCCAGCACAGCTTCAAGGGTCAGAAGAACAATGAACATGCAGACCATTAGCTACCATGTGGAATATTCACACTACTGCTCTGCACTGTGCACAGCTCTGGCAAGAACCTCTCCTAAGGGAATCCAAGGCTGACTTGTTAATAATGACATGATATACTTCTCCAGATTGTTTTGCATTAACTTCGAAGTCACCGCAGTGGTTAACCACACAATTTAGGGCAACAACAACAAAAAAAAATCTCTATTTCTGAACACCATGGCCTGGAGAAGAAATCAGGCTGCTGAAGATCAAAACCTTCGTTAGAGTTATCATTCCAACACAGCTAAAGCATCTGATTCGCTGAACGCTGATCACACCCCGGTGGTTAGCAAGACTTGCAAGTGAGGGGAAACTACCTCCAAGACAGAAGCCCAGGCAAAGATTTTCATAAACCTTGGTTCTGATAGGACTGGCCAACAACAGGCTGGGCTTATCATCCTTAATAGCTCTAGAGACAGGAGCATTCAGCTGACATCTGGTTCCACAAATCTTACACAAGTCCTGAGCAGTCTTCTCGAACTTTCAGCTTTAGAAGCTTTCTTGTATTTCTTCCACCACTGCATTCACAAAAGGATCCTCTCTTCTAGTGCTTTTCCAGTCCAATTCAGAATCACAGAATGTTAACGGTTGGAAGGGACCTTAATGATCATCTAGTCCCAACCTCCCTTGCCATAGGCTGGGACACCTCTCACTAGACCATGTTGCTCAAGGCCTTATCCAACCTGGCCTTGAACACTGCCAGGCTTGGGGCATTCATAACCTCCCTGGGCAACCTGTTCCAGTGCCTCACCACCTTCAGAGTAAAGAATTTCTTCCTAATACCTAACTTAAATTTCATCTCTTTCAGTTTGAACCCCTTACTCCCTGTCCTATCAATACAGTTCCTGACAAAGAGTCCCTCTCTGGCTTCCCACAGGCACCCTTCAGATACTGGAAGGTTGCTATGAGTATCTACATAACCTTCTCTTTTCCATGTTGAACAGCCCCAACTGTCTCAGCCTGTCTTCATAGGGGAGGTGGTCCAGGGCTCTTATCAAATTCATGGCTCTCCTCTAGACTTGCTCCAAAAGAACCCTGTCCTCATTCATTTTCTGAACATTAGGCAAAATAAAGCATTGCAATTACTTATCTTGGTTTTTCGTAAACTTCTGTCACAAGGTTTTGCACTGTGTTGATGTGACAAAGAATTTCAGAGATGTGCGTATTTGTCAGAAACCAAATTTCACTGTGATTTGTTGATAACTGGAATACACTGAGTTAAGGAAATCAATGTCCACGTTGCCACCCTCACACGTAAAAATGACACAGTTTCCAAGAAAAAAAGTTGTCAGGGTAATCTCTGGGGGTTTTATTCTAAAAGACTTTAAATTAAATGTGGAGGCCATTGCTTCTTTAAAAGCAATGGTGTGCAACCAGAATGTCCTGTAAATTACAGCGAGGCAAAGCACTCAGCATTCCCTTCTTTGCATTTCTTTTCCTCTCTTCAATCCCTGCCCACACTGACACAAGTAATAGCACGCCCTGTTCCACTTACTGCAAATTAACACAGCCTGCTCCTTTATAACCAGCTGTCACAATCTGTCACCAATTCATTTTTGCCTTCACAGCTGCAAAGGTAAAGGTAGAAATTAGAGATGATCTATATTACTGGGACTTTAGCAAAAATTTTTATCTGACAAGAAATAATTTTGCAGGTTTCTTCCTCTATTGGTGAGAGGTCAGTAAAGATATCTGTAAGTATCAAAATTTGCTGCAGGAGCATCTTAATAAGACTGTCAAGGTTGAAAGGCAATGCCAAGTTTTTACTAATTTCTGCCATCCAGATATAGATTAAAATTAAAGGCCTGTTCTCACTTTGGTATTGAAGCAGATCTCAAGTTTTCCTTTTAATCTGACAGCTTTAACACTGAACTAAGCGACCTGCCATGGCTGCACACCAATGGAACTGACATAGCAATATATATTAAGTAGAACAGTATTAACACTTGAACTTAGAAGCAGCAGGGATATAGCACCTTGAGCTCTAATTTCTGCAATTCCTCTACAATGAACACATCACCAGACAGTGGGATCCTGTTCCCTCAAGCAGGCATAGCTTCCACAAAGTAACTATTATGTTACTCTGAGTTATTTATTTAAAAGATGAAAACTCATTAAGGAGACACCTGAGAAAAGCTTTGAGGTATTTGCTGCTTTTGTAAAATAATTTAGTTTCTCTTCTCTACTGTATATTGATTTTAAAGGAAAAAAAGCAAGTGTACTGTTACTAACAAGTCAGCTACTACATACAATACAATGACACTATTACCTAGTCACCTCTGGCAGCATGAGTTAGAGACAAATCTTAGGCAGTGTTCCTTCTTTGCACCTTTGCCTTTAAATACGACTTCCCTCCTCTCTTCTCACTTTACTAAACTCCAAAGACTCTATACTGGAATCTTTTTTAGCATAGCTGAATGTGTCACACAAAATCATACCCATTACTTACGTAAAATGTACTTGATTAGATGTAGATGTAACACCAAATATCAGTAATATGTATTTATATTTTGAACTGGTTACCTTTCCAAGTAGACTTCTTTTGGTTATTCACAAGGCCCAATCCTAAATCCTTAGATTTTCTCCTACTTATGAAAATAAACCTTTGGTCACATTCATGCTAAGGCAACAAGATATTTCCAAAAAAAGCCCCAAGGAAAATCAGATGAACATAAATGAGATCCCAATTTTAAGACTTGATGCTGGATTTGTCAACAATTATCTTTGTATTATTAAGAAAATGGCAACAAATTTGCTATCGGTTAGCAGTTTCATCTGATTGGGTTTTTTAGCAGTTCCTGAGCAATTAAAAAATAGTTCTGTTTTTCTTTCCAGACTTCTGCATAAATTTTGTGAATACACAGAGACTGGTTGCCAATATTTAAAAGCAATTTTATGTGTGCATAGTATGAATTGCTTTCTACCACTGAATAAAGTATTAGACAGACCAGCCCATAACATCTCCTCTACCTAAATACTTATAATTGTTTCCCAGGCAGTTGCAGATTCCATTTCTATCACAGAGAACATGAAGGCTGTCAAAATATATGGGTTTTCTTCAAATTTACATTATTGCAGGTCTCCTGCATTTCCCTGTTTTGCAGCTTCTGGGCACCACAAACAAGACTGCTCCAGCTGGCCCCTGGAAGTGAAAGCATTGCTTCATTTACTAGTGCAGACCACAGGAATCAGTCTAAGTTTTCTTTTCTACATAGGTGTTCTGAACATTCAGAATCTATTGAATGAGTGATATATAAAAATGCAGGATGGCAGGTGAGAGCTAGTCAACAGCTCTGCATTCCTTATATTTTTATAGAATCCAGTGCCCTGTGGGTCAAAGAGCAAACTGAGAAGTGCAGACAAAGACCAAAGCAGAATCTCTTTACAGCAGAAACAGATATGTTTTGTTCTTTCAATCCAGAATATTCCATCAACTATCTCAACTGAAGGAAGGCAATGTCATGTTTTCCAATGTAAAAAACTGGATGCTGAGAAAGAAAGACTGTCATTTATGGGGCAAAGAATGAAGACCACCAACTTAGTAAAAATACCTGGACTGATACTTGAGAAATAACAAAAGAATTCAGTACGATGACCTAATGTTATAAACGTATACACTTGTGTGGACGCACACATACTCAGTGACTGCAGACTTAGGAAATGTGTTTATGCTGGACAACTGGCAATAAAACTTGCAATTCAGTGTCAGTGATTATTACACGCACATGGAGATAGCCAGGGCAGAAATTTACTCCTGAAAAATCTTTCCAGAAGCTTCTCACCTCTGATTTTCCATAACATTCTTCCTCTTCTGTGGTAGCCTCGCTGTCTGGCCTTCCAACTCTGTGTGAGTCCAGAACTCATTTTTAAATACAAGTTCTCTCAAACAAAGCATATTACTTTAAATTGAGACTCAGACATGCAATACAGCATGTGTGTACATGCATGCATATATTACATGTTTATATTAAAAATATAAGTAGCTTGTGCAACACTTCATTACAACCAATAAACATGTATCATCATTCTATGAATATTTTCTGCCAGGAATTATTCTGTTCTCAGATGACAGAGAATCACAGCTGTGCAGGGATCATTATCTGGTTCAGAAAAGTAGCCATGGAAAAGGGCTGAGCCACTCTGAAGGCTCGATCCATTCTGATGCAATACTGGACTTCTGTGTCACAATATTACAAATCCACTTGGTATCCAAAAGTTTCCTATATTTAAATGAAATAAAACCAAGATAGCTTTTTGTCATCATCACTCTGAAGAAAACAAATTCCAAGAACTCCTCCAAGTGCAAACTTTACAAGCAACCTGTTTGCCAATCTCTCGATTCACCTGTGCTGTTTGCATAACAAGCATTAATGGTGGGTTGTTTGTTGTATTTACAGCAAGTTTATTGGGGAGAGGGGAAGTATTCTTTTACAAATGAGCCATGTTCACTATTGAGATTACTTCCAAAGAGAGCATTCAGAAAGCAAACCTGAATATATTACATTGACAATTATTTTTCAATACTTTAACATCGGCCATTTAAAACTGGTTGTGTTATTAGCACATATACTGATCTTTAAATATACTACTTCTACATAAACAGTGCAAATCTCAATATTCACATCAACCTGAAATTAATGCTGCAATTACTGTTGACATTCACATCAAGAAAGTAGTAAACTATTTCACATGAGCAATTCCAAAACCTCAGAATGCCATTATTAATATTAAAGAAACACAGAACAAACATGTTGGGCTTCAAAGCCTTGTTTTGATACACACAATCCCTGTAAACATGGATGTATTGTATTTGTCAATACTGATATCTGATACAATTCTATAAATAAAACCACTGATATAAACAATTCCTATAACCTTATTTTTTTGCATAGGGTTTGGATTAAGGTTACTTTAAGATAGAGCCAGCTGTTAACAAAATCCTCTACTCAATTAGTCTTCCATCACAGAAATTTAGGCATATGACAAGGAGCCCCTCTGACTTCAGTGGAGACTTACACATGTAAGCATTTGCAAAACTGAAGTCCTCTTTAGCACTTAAGTTACCTCTAGTCATTGAGAATACAAGCTATAAAAGAGCTCTCCATAAATTTATAAAATATACTGATTTAAAAGTTTATGCTGATGTTTCTGTAAGTGACATTTATGATTCCAAACAGTTATGTACATACTATACTATCACAGTAGGAAATACTTCACTGTAGTACACCACAGTGAACAAGTTGTGAAGCACAGTGTTCAATATAATTTCCCTTTAGTATTCCCAGTGCATAAGTTGTTAACATCTACACTACACAAGGTGCCCAGGTCTAGTATTTGTTATATACAATGTAAAAGCAAGATAGAAATAGCTTTGCATTTTAAAGTAAGGAATGAAAACAGTAGGTAATATACAGGGATTCACTCCTGCAAAGTACAGAATTCTCCTTCACAATGACCATAACCACCAAGTATGGTGGATTTCAGGTCATTCAACCCAGTAAAACAGTGCTCAGCACCCTTGTAGGAAGAGAGATCTGAGTGCACTTTATCCTAAAACATCTCCTTTAGATGTTATAAAGTGCAAAAAATAAAACATATATTCTAATATTTTACAGTTACTATTAAACTGCCGTATTTGCACAATGCAAAATTCAAATAACTTGGTATACGTTTTGTATGGACCCTAAAATAACAGATGTTGAAACTGGTGCTTTTGCATCTTTAAAAAAATCTTAGTATTTTAAAGTTATTGTGTAAATATAAAAAGAAAATATAAATTATAATTAATTCTTGAAATAGGTATTTTAACATGTGACCATTTTCCAAAGCATTGAATATGAAATTTAATTTTCTTTTATAGCATTATATTTTAGAATCTGTAAAATCTTTCAGAAGTTAATAACTTCAAAAAAATTTGTATCACAGTACTAGACATCTCATATTAGACATCTTTACCCTAGATTTATTTAAAAAAATAAATTAATTAAAAAAAAAATCTAAGACTTGTATTCTCAGTTGTTTAGAATAAGATATGTGAGTTACTTTTTAAAACAAAATAAGAGTTCCATAACACTCCATTTTGATCTTAAAATTCAAAGAAATGGGACAGAATGTAACCACAAATTTAAAAGGTCTTAAAGTACAATACTCCTTTGGTGCATTGTACCAATGATTCTTTACATGCACAAAGAATCAAATTCTATAACATTCTTCACAGAGCTGGGTAAAAGCAGAAGATCCAAAAGTTCTATATATGTTACAGAGCTTTCCTTTCTTTGAACAGTGGGGAAAAAACTGGGAGGAAGATTCTGACACTGAGAAACAGTCTTCTTCCAAGCTGTACCACAAGCAGCATAGCTCCTTACCTTGAGCCTGACTGCACACTAGTAATTTAGCCCTAAGAGAATAGAATGTTGTTTGTATAATAGTATTATACCATATCCAGTGATACCAAACTTAATGCTAAAAAGAAATGTGTTGAAATACAAAGCTAAAAAGGTATGACTGAAATACATTTCTAAAGCAACAGACATTCCTGTAGCAGCCTGTAAGCCACAGGGAGGAATTGTGGGAGAAGAAAAAGTAGGTACTACCAAGTTTATAACCACTTAAATCTTCAAGAGAGAATATTCTCCACTTTTCAGTCAGAGAACTGGAAGATGGTTTCCGGGTTATTGCTGTCTGCAGGGTTTGTGGGCTGCAATGTCTTTGTAGGTGTAGTTTTACCATGAGAATGAGAGGAAGAAGAATGTGAACTTTCACTGGAGCTGCTACGTGTCTCTGTGCTTGTACTTGTTTTTTTCATTTTCCTTCTTTTTGCAAGAGGTGCCTTGTCAACATTCTGGAGACAAAATCCTTCCCTTTTGTACTTGTTAAAGGCCTGTTTAAAAATAAAAGGTAACTCTAAGCTTTTCAAGAGGTTTAAGACATTTTATGCCTTGTCACTTATTATGAATGTTCTATGGCAAGTCACAAGATAAACCACAGTTTCTTGACAGAGCACTACTAGTTCCTATTGTAGCTGTAATAATAACTTTAGTAGCTTTTACAGGTATGAAAGAGCCAATACATCACATTATTAATTGGCATCTTCTCCTCCTTGTTCTTTTTAATTTAGAAGTATTTTTTATTAAGCCTTAACCTATTTAAGACTACATTTTCAGAAACAATACTGTTAAATTACAGTTTTTCTTTCAGCCCAAATTATGTTGCATTATCAGGACCTCTCCAAGTAACAATTGTTTTCTTTTTGTCTCCTTCCTTCTAAGTGTCTGCAAGCATTTCTGCATAAATCTGCTCAATTTTGGCTTATTGTCTGTAGAAGGGATCATGAGAATCAACAATATGTTTGTATAATACAGCAGCAGTTCAAATGGTTTTAGTAAATATAAAATAGTAGATAAGCAAGTCCATTAAAAAGCATCTATGATATAAAAAGAGACCCCTGGTGGCCTAGTGGTTAGCATGCAGGACTCTCACTGCTGCAACCCGGGTTCAATTCCTCGGTCTCCCGGGCAGATGGAGCCCGTTAGCCCTGTGAGGCCATCCATCTATGAGAAGGTCACTCTAAACAAACCTACGTCCTGAGGACCTCACTGCCATTGTCCAAGCTTGCTTGGCCCCGGCAGATGAACCTTAGGATTAAAGGGTGGGCTCAGTTCAGCGCAGGCTGTGTCTCACCTAAAAAAATCCATTGCGCAGGCTGGAAAGGTAAAAAGACCTTTCCCCAGATCTTCGTTCGCGAAGACTGGCCATTATTATGATATAAAAAACATCAACTACACAGGTTCCAGAAATTTTACTTCAAATTTTTAACGTTAAGAACAAAAAGTTAAACAGTTTCTTAAGTTAAATATAAAGTTTTTTCTCTTTTTTCATAAAAGTTTGAAGACCTTTTAATAGATTCCTCTAAGAAACAAAATATTTTTAATAGCTCTTTCATGAACAGCTGTCCCTCAATCCTCAAGTGCTCATGAATATAAATATCTTCAAGAAATTTATTTTTGCTTCATCATTTATATTTTCATGTACTCCAGAGATGTTATGTATCAAGGAAAAAAAATCCAGCTATAAGCAAACACTGAATTTTAAGGACAGATATGTCTTGTTATTAAAAGAAAACATACATGAATCCAGATTACACATTACAACATATAGCATATGACATAAAATTTCTTAGAACTTACATGAAAAGTGGCTTTGACATATGTGTGCACAGCAGCTCCTGAAGAGCCCAAGTTATCAGGTGTCATCAGAGGGTTGGATGACAGCTGGCTGCCGTCCTGAAGCCATTCATTGTATCTCAGGCTGGACATTTTAATTCTTTTGTTTGGATCCACTGTTAGAAGTCCTAATAGAAACATATTATATTCTTTTGAACTGTGATCTATTTATCTTCATTTAATAGAAAATGCAAATATTTATTACAAAAATCTCATACATTGTGTTGATAAGTAACTAACGTCAATATTTGTCCTAGGTATGCCAATATTTATCCTAGATAAGGCTCACACAATGTTAGACTATCATCCGCTCCAGAAGAATCATTAAACACAAGAAATTGATATTTAACTGTTTGATAAGTCGCATCTCTTTTCATATCAACTCAGAACTACCAAATGATTTCTTCACTTAAAACCTGTCTGGGATGAAGTTCAAGGGAGTAAGCCTCAGATTCCCTGAACACTCCACTTAAGTCTGAATCTGGAAATCCCCACATTTTTGGCAGAAAAATTCCTTACAAGAAAAATTCCTTCTACAGAAATTCAGAACTCCATCTAAGTAGATTTAGGATTGGTGTCTAGCTCATGCTGAAAACATAATTAGATGCTCAAAAGCTTAAGGGAAACCAAAAGCATGGCAAATGTGAATGAAGCAGCTCAGAAATACTCAGTAAGTACTCTTGGCACATGGATTAAAAAATAGGCAAAGGGAAAAATATAGTAATAAAATAATTTTCTGCAAAAGCTTAGCTTTTAAGACAATTATCTCATAAGCTGTTTTGGTTTTTTAGAAAAGCAAAAATAACATAAAAGAAAAACTCTGCTTTTGTTTTAAAATGTTTTAAAACAGTGAGTTCACTTTTTCTGAAGCTCTCCAGTTCCTTCTAACCCCACTAACCTTCCTATCAGCATCTCGCCACATTAGAAAGCTCTGCTAGGTGTACAAGCAATTTGTAATACATTCTGATGTGTTCACCTCAGCCCATAGTTTGTATTAGGGGTCAGTACACAGCTCAAGCTGCGGATACTGCTCTGACAGGTTGACAGTCTGCTGCTGATTCCAGCATCCAAATATTGTATGGTTCTCTAATTTTACATTTTGAGGCAGAAATATAAGGTACACGAAATACTTGTGAATACGTACCTCGAATTAGCTCTTTAGCCTCTTCAGAAACATTTTTCCAAGCTTCTCCTTCAAAGGAAAATTCTCCCTTTTTAATTTTCTTCATAATTTCCAATGCACTGGTACATGTTAAACTTCTGTCTTGAGACTGAAATGGTACCTGTCCTGATAGCATTGTGTACTGTCATGACAACAAAAGCAGCATTAACAAACACAGTATATTTATGGACAACTCTATTACTAAATATGGAGGGCTGTTGTTTGCATCTCCAGACCCATGCAATAAAACCTGGACTGGCATAACTTCAAGGCTGTAGAAAACTTTAAGTTTGCAAGACTTTCTCTGGAGTCGTTGTTAGAAAAAACACTTGTATGTTTCAAGAAGCTATGAACAACACATATTTCTACCCTGCTCATATCTACTGTAATTAATTTTCTGTAAATCAGGATGCAGGTTGATTCCTTCTCTGAACTGAAACTGTAAAAAGATTATATGGATGCCTGTAAAATCTCCTAACAAGAATACCTCTTTTTGAGAACCTGACTGCATCAAGTAACTTTTCCATTCCTAGAAGTGTTAAATTTAATTTGCTACTTAGGAAAAAAAAATCTCCAGCCTGGAAAACATCTGTCTTTGGAACCTATTATTTTTGCAGTAATATTTTCACCACACTTGAATTTGGCATGTACCCAATTTATGTCTGAAATCATGTCAAATCCTTTGCATTTTAATAAAAAGTAGATACAAGCAATAAAGTTATAGTTAAAAACCTCAATCACTTACCAAAATGACTCCCAAACTCCACAGATCACAAGACTCGTCATAACCATTGTGATTCAAGAGCTCCGGGGCAGCATAATGAAGAGTAAAACACGGAGTCTTCAGAGGCTGATTATCAGGTGGTTTTAAACGAGCAAAGCCAAAATCAATTATTTTTATTTCTGAATTATCACTTTCATCTGTAAATAGTAAATTCTGAAAAGCAAAGACAAAATCAATGCCAGCACTGGGTAGAAAACTGATTAAAATTATTTTCCTACATTTATTACTACAGAAAACTTGACATTACCTATAGGAAAGGGGAAGTGGGAGACACCGGGGGAAAAAAATGGAAAAGTAGAAATAATGGTACTCTGGGTTGTAAGAAAATGTGATGTGTTTATCTGCATCCTGCATACCTGCAAGTCAGGGCAGTTCTGTCAGAGATTATTAATGAAAATCAATATGTAGCAGAGAACAGTGGGGAAAAGAATTCAGGGAACACTGAATAAAAAGCGAAGACATTAAAATGTCTGGAGATGGAGAATTGCCTTCTTCCTCAAACAAAAGCAAATTTTCTTATGCTTCCCCATTATTCTGGCATGTTATGAATGATAGCTTTCTTGTGTGGGGGACTCCTGTTGCATGTCTTGTTTTGTGACTGAATAGTCTTTGGTCCTCAAGTGGTTACACACTGAAGCCATATTGCAATGAGCACAATAATGCAAAAGAGCAAACTGAAAGTGAAGAATGGTGGTAACAAGGTGCCCCTTGGGATAAAGTGGTGGTATAAAGGGCCCCAACAGCTCAGCAATTGTACCGAGAGGTGCCTTTGGCATGGATGGCAAAGTCAATACGTGTTGTGGAAGTGACGTGGGACCAACAGCATTCGAGCACTGAAAGTCACACAACAGTCCAACCTCAAACCTCCTCCTTACACCAAGATAAAGAGACACTGGTATAGTAGTCCCTGAGAACTCCAGCTTTACAGACTGGAATGTGGCACCTTGGACTTGAAGACAGACAGGTTGTTATCCGTTTGGAATCAGCTTCTTTTTTTCCCCCTGAGTATTTATATTTGTCAAGAAAGATACAAGAATGAAGCTAAGTCTTAGAAGAACTGTCTGAGGCCAAGACAAATTAAAAACTAATTCTACTCCTCCCATCAACTTCTGAGAGAAGAGCATAATTTTGCTATTGCCTTTACTGTTTGATCTATGAATGCTAGAAAAAGTCTCAGTATTATAAATCCTATAGCCCTATCTAATTTTGTAATACAAGAGGTGAATGACTTATACAAAGTAATTTAATTTCAAATTCATTAACAAGGGTTAAAAAATGATTGCTAGACTGCCAGCAGATCAATAAGGAGAACCAGAGAGCATTCATTATGGATAAAAGAAAATAGCTTCTATAAAACATTTTAGTATTTTTCCATTCTGTACTGCTGTTATAGCTTAATGCACATTCAGAAAAATCAGTTTTTAATTTTAAAATGTGTAAGATGGATCTGAAGGAAGCCTAGTTTCAGCAAAAGTATTAATACAACAAGGATGAGTGATTAATATAATTGTCTTTTTTCTATGGTGCTGTTATATAGTCAACACGTAAATGAAGAACGAGTAACATCAGGTTAAAAAGACCTTCTTAAGACAAAAATGAAATTGGCTATGCACAGAGAGAAAGGTACAGTCCAAGTGTCTTAAGTTGGGTTCAGATTTCCCTGTTGATTGGGTAAATAAACTATTTTTCACAACCCCCCTGCTTCCGTATTTACAGCTATATTCCACATATAGTTTAAGGATATGTAAACAACACTATCTCTGTCTTGGTAGGTTTTGTTCTAATACCTCTAGAACTCACTTTACATATTAATGGTCACTTCACAGAAACAGTTCTCAAATCCTCTACTGAGAGGCTTAAAATGGTCATATATGCTACACAAATTCTTTATTCCTATGAATTCTCTACTTTCTATCCAGTACTGAGACCCCTGGTGGCCTAGTGGTTAGCATGCAGGACTCTCACTGCTGCAACCCGGGTTCAATTCCTCGGTCTCCCGGGTAGATGGAACCTGTTAGCCCTGTGAGGCCATCCATCTATGAGAAGGTCACTCTAAACAAACCTACGTCCTGAGGACCTCACTGCCATTGTCCAAGCTTGCTTGGCCCCGGCAGATGAACCTTAGGATTAAAGGGTGGGCTCAGTTCAGCGCAGGCTGTGTCTCACCTAAAAAATCCATTGCGCAGGCTGGAAAGGTAAAAAGACCTTTCCCCAGATCTTCATTCGTGAAGACTGGCCATATATATATATATCCAGTACTACTTTTCCCAATATATGATCAAATTACTACTGCTAAACAGAAGACTTTCCCAGTTCACGCAATTAAAAAAGTCTCATCCTTAGGCATTTAACCAGTCATATTTTTAAAAATAGATTTATCAGTAGCACATTAGATGTCAAAGTTGAACATCAAACAAATCTGACTGGAATTCTTAGAAAAGCAACAGAAATTCCTGTATAGCTTTTTACAGAAAGGTGCACTAACCACATCTATATTGAGAAGTCTGCCTATCTCCTACTAAGTTCATGTTGGAACCTAAAATAGTAACTTTCAAAACAACAAGCAGGAAGGAGGCAGCAGGTTAAGTCCAGCTTTGTGGAGGCCATGGATTCTGCAAGCTGTTTGCTAACTCTTCATTACTTGGACTTCCTAGACTTCTGTTCTTGAACATAATGTAGAACTGAAGACTGCCTAATTTACCATGCAACTGAAGCTCTGCTTTATTCTGTCTTTATATTCAAGATGGTAGTAAGACTAAAATGATGAGAATAGAAGAGAGAAAGGGTTTTTGGGTTTTGACTTTTTAATAATTACTCGTTTCAAAAGCTAGTTTCTTTCCCTGATGATATGACTCTCAAAAAACGTTTATCTGATGACTTTTTCAATGCACACATTAGAATTTCACAATAGCTCCTCTTTGTTTAACTGTTTACTTAAAACAGGAGCTTCTTTCAAACTCATATATTTTGGATTGATTTTCAAAAATAGTTTAAATACCAACACCTAGCAGACTTCTTTATCTGTTGAATTGGAATTACTACAAAATACTAAGTCATATAGCAGAAGGTACATTACAAAATGATAACATCAGTAGGTATGGTGGATTATTTTTTAACTTCAGCTACAAAAGGAGTAGCTATTTCCTGAGGTATGATGATTGTAATTACCTTTACAATATAACATCCTTACTGGATGAACTAACATCAATTTTCACTACTCTCAGGCTTGAGAAAACTAACACATATCCAAGGCCATTGCTGGCAAAAAAACCCAAGAAAAAACTGGGTCCAGGAAGCAGAACAAAGCCAGTGGTCAACATCACCATAGTAAACAGAATTGTCCAGAAGGCAAGATATTGCTGCACAATAAAAATATCAGAACAAGTAATTACTGAAAAACAGATATTAAAAAATGTTTCTTTTGGGAAACTACTGAACTCACTGAACTCAAATCACACATCTTTATTAGCTGACTGCATTAGTTTGTGGTTCATTTTGTGCTTAACTGGAACAGAAGACAGTACAAGGGTGTCACAATTACATCCAAAAGAAGCCCTGCTGAGGGAATTAAGGTCAAACCAAGGGTGAAAACGTACAGGGAAAGTATCCAAGCAACCTAGCTCTCTGCTTATGAACTGTTTCATACAATAAATACACACTAGTAAAAATTGTCCCCAAATAGGTGAAGAATGTTTTTGAACAAGTTAAGAGTACAGATTGCTTACAGAACTAAACATGTTTCCTAACAGTTACTTTTACCTGTGAACAGAAAAACATCTACAGAATTTACCAAGTAAAAGCAGTAACATTGTATTAAAAATACAGAAGTAGAAAACTCTGTAATAAAAGCTGAAGAAACAGAGACACATCACATTCCAGATATTTAATAACTTATTGTCTTAACATATATATGCAAGTCACTATACCTCAGGTTTCAGATCTCTGTGGACTACTCCTACATCGTGCATGTGGCTCACTGCTGAAACAAGTCTGCGCATAATGTGACTGGCTTCAGTCTCACTGAAATGTTTCTTTTTCTGAATACGCTCAAGCAATTCTCCACCCTTCAGCAATTCCATTACTAGAAATGTGTGAAGCTGAAACAATAAAGAAAAATACAGCATGTTAGAAATTTAACATTACAAACCAATGTTCATTCAAGATGTAGGTGCTAATCTGACAGGTTCTCCACATTTGAAGAAATAACACTACTACTTGTAGGTATTTGGAAGGCCAAAATCAAGCACTGACTTGCATCTCAGATGCACTTTCCCCATCAATCTCATTGAGATTGAAGAATGATAATGTCTTTGCCATGTCCACCCATATTTATTTAAAAAAACACAATACCATCAGCTACATTTGTAGAGAGACGAAATGTCTTTACTTAGGCTAACAAATAAAGCTGGAAAAAGCTAGACTTTTGCCCTTAAGCCTGTTCTGATGCAGGGATACATATCTATTAATATGCATAAGGAGCTAACCACTTAATGTTAATTAAATCCTTTAAAAGTACCCTGAAACTTCACTAGGAAATCCTCTCAGCTCATTTTCGAAGTGCTCCACATGACCTCTCTGCTGGTCCTTGTATAAACCGCATGAGGAGGACAGACTGGGACAGGTGGACAGGCAAGAGACCTCACATTCCATTACAGAATCATAGACTAGAATCACAAAGTAGTTTATGTTAGAAGGGAGCTCTACAGGACATCTGGTCCAAAACCCCAGCTCAGACCAGGGCCAACTTCCAATTCAGATCAAATTATGGTTTATTACATGCTGTGGACTCTGCATCACATTAAGGAAAAAGATAATTATGGTACATAAATAAACTGATCTTAATATATTTTCAAATAGAGGCTCTACTTTCACATTTGGTAATTTGGCAAGCTATTTAGTTATCTCCATTGAGTTACTAATATGTAAAAAAAAATGCTAGCTATATAATCTTCATATGCATGATTTCCAAATCAAATCACCAATACTGTTTAAAATTTATGACAACCCGAGGGGAAAAGTGACTAGACACCTCAGTATCATAGATGTGAAACTGTGCAATGAATATACTGTATGATGATTCACAAAGACAACCAAGGCTAGAACCACAAACAGAATCCAAGACTAATTTTTATACATACTTTTGATTTGCTAGAGTAACTGCAAGATTGCTTGAATGTAGAACTTCTGCTTCATCTTCTATACTGACTAGACAAAAGCCCTAGGAAAAATGTTGCCTTCACAGTTATAGTATGCTTAACTCCTAAAAGTTCTTGGAAAAACACATGGCAATGTGTTTGGTAGGTGCTGATTACAGTTTCTTCAAAATACCTGGTCATGAAAAACTTCATGTAACTTCACTACATTCGGATGTCCTTCGCAGAGTTTCAGGGCTGTTATTTCTCTCTGGGTGTTGGCTTCCATTCTAGAAAAATTGAGCAATCATTTTGTACCCATTTTATTAAGCAAATTGCACATTCAAAGTGTTAGACCTATTTTTTAATTGCTTTAGTACAATTAAAAGTATATTCAAAGCTGAGAAAACTTGCCACATAACTCTGCAATTTAGATTATTAAAAAACCACAGCGAAATCAAACAAAGTTTTTAATGCAATTGCAACTTGCTACAGCAAAAGCTGATGTGATGTTATAGAATATTTTCTATCTAAAACTAACCTTTCCCTTTGTCCAGGGAAATCTGACATCACTTATGTTGCTACAAAGTTAGTTAGTTCACCTTTATCTTGGCCAAATCATTTTCCAGTCTTAAAGGAGACAAGTATTTCCAAAGTGGTATGGAAACTATAAGCTCTACTAGGAAAAAAGAGTAACATTGTCTATATATGAATTGTGTTATACAAATGAACCCCTAAACAGGCCATTGCAAAAATCTGAAAAGGAAGAGATAAGAAGAGACTGTCTCCAGAGCAAAACTCATGGCATAAATTCTCTTTCAAGTACTGAAATCTATAGCCAAAAAAAATGAACATGGTGATCATTATAAAAACTATGTGAATGGTGACAGACCAGAACACTTTTTCCCACTATTTAGATATGTTGATTTATTTTTGGTAAATAATCCCTGAAAATTTTTGCCAAAACTCTCTCCAAGAAAGTCTAACCCTGTGCTGACTTAAGAGAATGGCCTTATGGATAACACAGAATCTCTCTTACTACACGTTCTTAACTTTTGGTTGCCTTTTTCCCCCGCTAATTAGGATGAGAACTACAATGAGAATTCTGTGCGAGAGAATTCTGTTTTTCTGCAGGCTTCATATAATCAACGAATAAACTAAGCTGTTTCACCTGCTGCTGAAGTTGTTTAAATTGAAAGTGGCTTCAGGTCCTTAAGAAATTAAAAAACCTGACTCACACAGTCTTTCCCCCTAAACTACTATCAGAAGGAAGTGAACCTTGAAAACAGATGAAAAAGGTTCAGTATCATGAACATAAACCTTCGAAATTTGTACATGGACTTTTCTGAGTATTTCCCCTCCATAAATAGTTACCATCTCATGAAAAACAAACAGGAAGTTCTAAAACAATAACTCAAGCAAGTTTACAGGGGCCCACTGTTTCAGTGGTCTTCAGACACACAGATAAACCTCAAATTGTTGGCTGGAAGCAGGTCCAGCACTACTAACAAAACAAAGCAACACCACAGAGGAACTCTTCATCTGAGCTTTCACCTCAAGTATCATGAAAGGGTTTCCTTGGGTGTAAGATTCCCTTTTCGGGCACATTTGGTCGCTAGGAGTGAAAGACTGACTTTGAGGCAAAGAAGACGCTAGAAACCCATCACACTTTTCCTTTTAGCAAGATTTACCAGTGTGATCCTCAGAGCAATATTATTTACAGTTTCTTATTCAAGCTGGGTTTTGTCCAACTATTGAGAGTGTGGGTTTACTGCTACCCCTAAACACTGCACAAACATGCTCTGACTCTGCTCACAGCCTACATTCCTAAAAAAAAAAAAAATCTCTGTATACAGAACACTTCTTACCTTCATTTAGCCTGATCTACCAAGATGAAGGAGAAAGAGCAAAGGAATCCATGAGTAATATCATCTAGGGACATAATTCCTTAAAGTTTAGTTCTAGGGGAAAAGTCAATACCACTATGCCCACTGTTATCCCAAGACAAAATATCCATTACATTAAGACGAGATGCGAGTTACTAACCTACAGCTCCGCATGTACCACAGAAAAAAATTTTGAGTGTAGACACAAGGCAGAGATTTTCACATTAAAATGTCCAGTGTAGGTGTCTACTACATACTACTGTTCAAGGTCTCATTATAATGACTGAAATTCTAGTTAACCAATCTTACAGGGTGAACTAATTCACCATAACATACATACCTAGAGTAGGATTCAGTGGCCTAAGCATAGGAGAGCCTGGGAGATGACATCAGCCATGAAGACATCTACAAAAAGGTAGTAGTCACAAGACTGATGGGAACTGGAGAACAGAGAAGACACCAACAGATGCTAAAATGGCACTACGTAGATGTCTATGTTTAAGTTACTGAATCCCACTTCTAGTGCCAGGTTATTCAAGTCTCTCTGTAGACTCCACTAACAGTTTTAGGCAGGCCTCTATTAAATTAGCAGACTTCAGAAAAGTGACTCAGACACCTACACTTAGGTTTCTTATTCTTGAACTTATCCTATTCAAACAGCATGTGATGAAACACTTAAGTCTGGTGGACAGCTTCTTCTAGGGTCTGGAAAAACAGAGGTACAGCCAAATGTCTTGGAGAAGAGATCACTGTGAACTATCATTCCAATAGTGGAACATTTATACTTTCCCCTTCCTGCCAGCATTCTACAACACACTAGGGACATATTTACTAATGAACACTAAAAATTCCATCTGCTTCTCAAAGAATCCTTCATCTTTATTTTTCTCTAGGCAGAAACTGAGGTATCCGGTCTGGAAGAAGACCAGTTGATACCCATGTACAAAGCAAGTCAGCTGTCTTCATTTGGATGTTCTCTTCAGAACACCCAGGAAACAAAATGCAACTTACAACTCCAAAGTCTAATTCCATTTTATACACACACACAGTTAGATAGATCTGAGGCAACCCACACTACAGATCCTTCTTAAAAGCAGTATCCTAGGCAATCAAATGGGCTGTTGAGGAGAGGGAGCTAGCGTAAGCCTACGTTCAGTTCACTTAAGTCTAAAGATAGAAAAGCCTTATACCTTACTTTGTTAGGAGCACAATTAGGGGAAGGGTAGAATACAACTAGGAATCAGAAAGGTACTTTTTAGGTTTCTTCCTGTGTCCTCCCCAACAAGAATAACATTTTGTTTCAAAAGACTCTCGGATTTTTTTTAAAGGTCATAAGGATACAGTAAGTTTCTGTAGATTCATAGAACAGAAAATAATTTTAAAGTTATTTTTCTACTTCCAAAAATGTAGTGAACATTATTCTAATCCATGGGTGACAGTAAGCAAAGAAAATATTTTTATTGTCTTATAGAATATTTATACCTTTTGCTAATTATTTTTACTGCATACTCTTGGCTAGTTTTCTTGTGTAAGCACTTTCGACAAATGGAAAAACTTCCTTCTCCCAATGGTTTCTCTTTCAGATCCAGTTCATAATGATGATAAAATGGAGAGTCCTGTTAGGAAACTGTCTGTATTTAGTTTTGCAGAATACTTGTAGTATACACAGTCAAAGACAAAGAGTAAAATTTCGTGAGAATTTTTCATCTATATTTAAAATTGTAAAAGAGCTCTCTTTTTAATAAAATATATAATCTTAACTTCTATTTAATAAAATGCATAAACATTATTCTAACAATCAAAGAGTAAGGCTCATGTTACATTAAACAAACAAAATCACTAAATAAATCATTACTACTACAATAGCTGAAGATACAAAATATTCAGACAAACAGGATCAAAGATGGCCATACATACATTTATCCACAAAACTATGCACTTGTTTGAAGACATCATGATAGCATGTGTTCTTAAAAGGCTTCACACAACTATACACTCTTTTGGGTAAACATATCATACAAGGAATTCTGATATAATTAACAGTTTCAAAAATATCTACAATGATTGGCTGAATAAGAGCTATCAGGAATCATACAATTATTCTATACTTCATTCTTCTGGGAAACTAGATAATCATCTCATTTTTCAGATTAAACGTCAACCACTTAATAGTATCACATGCAAGTTAGATGCTTGGATCATCGGAGGAGCCATTACAGAGAACTGATAAATAAACAATGACTATTTTGTAATCTGTAGCCTAGCTCGTGATTGCTGCTTGGGAAGTTATACATAGTTCCAAGGTACACCTAATTAATTTAGTTCTTGATATTATTATTACCTTCATCATAGCACTTCTGGCAATAGTTGTAGTTCCAGGTCGTTCATCCCCCATATAAAACTGAAGAGGATCTACTGTAGCTGCATTGCGTTTAAACAAAATAGAAGGTGCAACGAAAGAATATCCCTATGAAATTAAAACATCAGAAAAGGGCATGGCTTGATATTGCTGCACGTTAACTATCATAATACATATAAAACATTAGAAGTTTCAGAAGAATTTTTCAAAGAAATCAGAATTTTCATACCATAGTACAGAAACTATAACTGGCTCATTATGGTTAGATACTACTCTGTTCAACCTGAACAGGTATGTTCCTGGAATCAGTTACATGTTTTTACATAGTTGAAGATAAAACAATAATACTACAAGAACTCTCATAATTAATGCTAATCTGGTTCAGTTTCAATTGTTTTGCAATAGTGATAAAGGCTCATACTTCAAATTAGCCAGCTTCCCAGGACACCCTAAAGTTAAGGCATGAAATAGTTTTTATGTTGTGATGTAAGCATCAAACCATTTTAAATGGCTAAACGATATAAGCTTCATATTAATGATGTGCCTAGTTTGAGTATAACAAGAACAGCTGTGACTACCACCATAGAGTGGTGACATGCATAAATTGCTTACTACAGTCACTACAAATCTAACAACTTCCAAAATATGATGCTACATTCCTGTACACTAAGAATTAAGCTGTTCAAACACAGACAATAAAAAACAACAAAGCACAAGGAGGGGGAGAAGAGAAAGCAATCCAAACTGTTCTTCACCTCTGCAGCTCTGGCAACAAGTTGACTGATATGAGCTGTTTCTACCCACCCATTTGACATCTAGACTGTACAGTCTAAGAAGGGATCATTCTTTAGCAGCACGGAGGAGATGATAAGGAAAGCTTTGTTACTCATCTGTATATAGCAGTCTAGTAATTAGAGCACTCCTACAAAACGTGGAAGACCTACTTTCAACTCTGCAGGTAGCTCCCACTTTCCAAAGGAATACTTCAACTAGTGCATTATGTGGAAATGGGTGAACTACATGACTGTTGTTGAAGCTCGTAGCCCAGGCTGATGGAGTCAAGATGACAAGACTCATAAGGTATGAAGAATCAATAAAGAACAGACAGACTTTAGTCCAGCATGCAGGACATTCAGCTGGGAATGGAGAAACAAGGAATTTTATATTTGCAGTAGGACTGTTCCCACCTTTCTCATTTTGCATTTGTTGAACAAAAAGCTCTGGGAACTGAGACTGGAAATTACACAGTTAATTCCAAGAACTTAAAAGGTAGGAGGAAAAAAAAGCTAGCTATATGGAATTGTTCAATAATTTTTTTTTAAATTAATGTGAGTTCTTAAAATACCTGAAATATTCTTTCTGAAGTCTGAGGGGTTGCTGCAGGAGAATATGTTGGATCCATTTCTGTAAACTCTTCTGCAAAATTACTGACATCCAATTCATCTCTGATTACTGGTTTAAATGGAGCTGGTATTTTTTTGGCAGCTAAATCATCCCAATTCATATTCTAAACAAAAACCAGGAAAATAAGTTTGAATCAAATTAAAATTAAACAGAAAGAGATATTGGAGAGACAGATTTGTCCAGAAACACAATCCTAACTCCATTTGCTATTTTCCACAGGCAGATGAAAAGCATTCAAATTATGCCCTACTAATTTGCTTAGGTAGAGCCAAGAAGTATCATAGTTATTTGTATGTAGACAGAATTCAATTAAAAAAAATCAATATAATTAAATTTAACAGTGGAGATGAGCCAAACAATTATTGTGATGGCCCTTGAATTTCTTCCTCTATTTCAGAATAAACAACATTTATATTTTTGTAAGCCACAGTGCACACATTCAGTATCTTCAACTTTTCACTGCCAATTTCTGTGCTTAATTACTAATGTCAGCTTCCAGAGCCCTGAGAGCATAAGCCTCTGAATTCTTCCTTAAATGCATGGCTAGAAAGAGGAAGCTTTGGTATAGCAGTTATGAGAAAATTGCCCTGATACTGTAAAGGAGTGGAACTGAAATTAAGTCAAGATTAAAAAGTGTTGTATGAGGACAAAATGTATCTTCCAAAGCAAACAGTGAATAAGGGAAGTTTTACTCTGTGTAACTTTCCTTAACTTCAGAAGCACCATAAATATATACTTAGTTTTTTCAAAGAAAGCACACAATTTTAACCACAATGGATGGAACAGTACCAGATGCTGTATGCAAATCCAATCTTTGTCATTGTCTGAAAGCAAATGTTAATACTCTGAAAGCTGAACAGAATTAAAATTTACTAAACAAGACTAAAGATTTAATTAGGCCAAGGAAAATAGAGGAGTTTAGTGAATTTTATCAATATTCAGATTTTACAAATAATGCTAGTGGCAAACTTCCTTAAAAAAAAAAAAACAAAAACAAAACAAAACCAAAAACCATGAGACAACACAACACATAATTTCAGTGCTTTGCATTAAACCTTCTAGTTTAAGTAGTGTGACTTTTGGTTGTTGCAAGTAACTTAGATACAGAGAGAACATATTAAATGTCTATCATGCCCTTCTAATACACACAAAATCCATATACATAAACACATGGATATTCTTTCTAACTTCGATATAATTATTCATGCAATTAACATGTCTCTAAGCTATTCTGTTAACAAAACAGCAGAATTTCCTTAGAGTTGGATTTCACAGTCACTAATATAGAGTAAGTGGTATCTGGTGAGTTCTGTTGTTTGCTTTACCTGGAAAAAGGGATGCTGCTTGATTTCATTAGCATCAGTGGGACCACAACCTAGCCTCTTCTTGGGGTCTTTCATCAGAAGCCGCTGAATTATATCCTTAGATAGAGCGCTCATTTCTTGTGGATAAGGAGGCTCACTTTTTAATATTCTCCTGTAAAACAAACAAAATAACAATTTGGTAATTACTTAATATGTTGAGTGTTAAATGAAAGAGTTGCCATACTAATGGTAGCGTTTAAAAGTTCACTTAAACTTCTATTTTATCCAAAGGCAGGAGGATCGCAAATGTGAAACAAACCATTTTTTAAATAAAGAAAGGTTCAAGGAATTGTGGACATGAAACACAACATCTGTAAAAGATAAATTGTGTAACTCAATCCGCAAAAGAAAAACCTTCCTATTTCACATACTGGGCTTACTATTACTATTTAAAAGAAATCTCATAACTACAACAGATAGTTTAATAAAGAATTCAACCTGATGCCTAACAGCAGTCAAAACAAAAATAATTCCAATATTAAAAATTATTAGAAAAAAAAGAAAAAACCCCTCACATTTGGGGCATTGGAAGCTTGCCTGCACCCTCTATCTTGCACACAGTGCTCATATCCTAGTCTCAAAAGGAGGCACTATAACTGGAAAAGTTTTAGAGAATAGTAATAAGACTAGTCAGAAATACAGAATGTGTTTTATAGGAAGTTTTATAAAAGGCTAGGACTACCCAGCTTAGTGAAAAGATGACTCAAGGGGCCTGGGACAAGGACCTCACTGTCTTTTTCAATATAAGAACTAGAAGCCATCAAATAATGCTAGTTCAAAAGTTCAAAATCTTGCAAGCCTAAGCAGAATCACATTTCAGCACCTCTTTTATATGGGTAGTTCCCACAGTTTTATATAAAGAGGAAGGCAAGTTTTCTTTCAGTTACTCCAAGTGGAAATACTGAAGCTAAGGACTCTGAAGGAAAATTGAGAACGCACACACAGATAACACATCCAAAGATACATCAAAAGGGTTAAAACAAACACACACAAATCCCATTTATCATACAGAACCACAGAGGAGTGGTTAGAAGGGACCTCTGGAGGTCATCTGGTCAAACCCCCCATGCTCCAGAGTCATCTAGAGCCAGTAGTTCACAGCCATGTCCAGAAACCTTTTGAGTATCTCCAAGGAGAGAGACTTCACCACCTTGCTTGGGCAGCCTATGTCAGTGCTCAGTCACGCTCACAGTAAAAAAGTGTTTCCTGATGCTCAAAGGGAACCTCCTGTGTTTTAATTTGTTTCAACAGGACCTCTATCTCAGGTCCTGTCACTGAGCACCACTGAAAGCAGCCTGGGTCCTTCTTCTCTACATGCTCCCTTCAGGTATTTATGTACATTGATGAGATCTCCCTAGCCCTCTCCAGGTGGAAGAGTCCCAGCTTTCTCAGCATTCCCTCCTATGCTTCAGTACCTTCAATCTTCTCAGTGGCCCTTTGCTGGACTCCTTTCAATATGTCCATCACTCTTGTGTACTGGGGAGACCAGAAACCCAGGTGTGGCCTCACCAGTGCTGAGAGGAAGGATCATGTCCCTCAACCTTATGATACTCTGTCTAATGCATCCCAGGATACCATTTGCTGCTTTTGCCACAAGGGCACATTGCTGGCTCATGTTCAGCTTGGTGTCTACATAGCTCTATGCATACTTTCACTGTGGTGACTTCAGGAAGCACAATACAGAGAAGGACTTGGAGCACCTCCACTAAACACAGACTGAAAGATTTTTGAAGCAATGAGAGACATAGCTTCTTACAGAGCTTAAGTTGATCACTGCAGGACACTTCTAACTTTTGTTTAAAGTTACTACATGACATATCCTTAGAGTCAGTTATCCCATGGGAAAATTTTTGTCTTGAAACATGTAGCTTCTTGGATTAGTCCAAAAATAGATGCAAGCAGATTGTTTCCTAAATAATCCTGTCCTGGCAGTGTTCAAAATGCACATATCCCAGGGGTAGCCTCTACTGACTTAGTATCCAATTTCAAGCAAACACAAAGACAAAGCAAGCTAATCTCTTGGTTTAAGTAACACTGAAATGAGTTAGGAAAATACAGTGTGAATTTTAAGGTGGTGCAGAGGTCCAGGATTGTTTCTTTGAATGATGTATGGATTATCTGCCACTAAGAATCTAAATCTCAGCCATTCTGCTAGCAGAAGTAGCTGCAACCATAAGCCTTCTCTTCAACTTCTGGACACATTTCACTTTACAGAAAAGGAGAAGAAAACACAACATTGTCAAATGATTTCTTAATTAGGGATATTAATACCAAATTTAAACATCACTAAACAAGAGGATTCTTACACTGCAGGAGTGGTGGAGAAGTAAAGATTCAGTCTCTTCAGAAATCACCCAGTTTCAGAAAGGGGGAGGAGGTAAGGAAGTAAGAAAACCTTCCTGTTGTGAGACAGAAGACAGGACACCTTGATAATAAAAAGTTACTTCATTTACAGGAGGGCCAATTAAATCTACAGTGTCTTTGTAGCTTGAAAATCACTTCAGTTAGAGAAGTCTGAGGAAATCTATTTATCAATCTGTCTGATGAAAGAATCAGAAAGGTATGCAACAAAGATCTTGGAAAGAGGCAAGTTCCCTTTGAGCTCTCAGAAGGAGGAAAAATTACTTCAGTCAATATTTTTTAAAACTGATTTCTAAAGCAATAAGATTGAGGCTCTGTGATGTCCTCAGAAATCAAAAGAGACATTCTAGAGCATTTTCCATCTAAAACATGTCAGAGATTAAAGATGGACAAGTCAGATAAAAAAATTTAAATTTCACTGAAAAAAGATGCTGAATTGGGATGATTGGTAAAATCAGTAACAAAGAGAATAAATGAGTACGATTTCTCTGTGCAGCCTTAGGAGATCAGTCTCTACAGTAGTGATGCTGAAAAGTGTAAGCAGTAAGATTTTTGCCAGTGTCCCAGGCTGCTAATGCAAATATGTAATTGGTCATATCATGGAGGTGGTAATTGCACAGAAAGTCTCAGCTGAAGCTGAGACAAATTTATAAAATAACTTTTCATATTATTTGACATTCTGCTCTTTGTGTAGAAACCACTCCTTAAATTCATGGGGGAAGGAATCCCCTATAAAGATTATATCTATTAGAACAATTTAGCACACATATTTTGCCAATAATAGTTTTGTATAACACTGTGTTTTAACAGAATTGTTAGGGTTGGAAGGGATCTCTGGAAATCATCTAGTCCAACCACGGCAGGGTTACCTAGAGCAGGTGACATAGAAACATGTCCAGGTGGGTTTTGAATGTCTCCAGAGACGGAAACTCCACAACCTCCTCGGTAGCCTGTTCCAGTGCTCTGCCATCCTCAACATACAGAAGTTCTTCCTCATGTTGAGGTGAAACTTCTTGTGTTTCAGTTTACGGACATTACTCCTCGACCTGTCACTGGGCACCACTGGAAAGAGTCTGGCACCACCCTCCTGGCACCCACCTTCGAGATATTTATATGCATGAATGAGATCCCCTCTCAGTCTTCTCTTTAGACTAAACAGGCCCAGCTCCCACAGTCTCTCCTCATAAGAGATGCTCCAGACCCAGACATGCCTCATTTTACCTCATGGAAAATTCTCTGGCAACAGAATCAGTAACTCCTGCCTTTTACCAAGATTATTGTTTTAAATAATTTCTTTTTATAGGCAGAATTAACAATGAAGTGGTATTTAGCTATGTGAAAAGCAAGCTGTGATTATAGAATCACAGAACTGTTTAGGTTGGAAAAGACCATCGAGTGCAGCCATTTACCCAGCACTGCCAAACCCACCACTAAACCATGTCCTTAAGTACCACATCTGCACCTCTTTTAAATACCTCCAGGGATGGTGCCTCTACCTCTTCCCTGGGCAGCCTGTTCCAATGTCTGACCACCCTTCCAGTGAAGAAAGTTTCCCTAACAGCCAATCTAAACATCCCTGGGTGAAATCTGAGGTCATTCCCTCTCATCCTGTCACCTGTTATCTGGGAGAAGAGACCAACATGCACCTCACTACAACCTCCTTTCAGGTAGTTGTAGAGAGCGATAAGGTCCCCCCAAGAGCCTCCTTTTCTCCTGACAAAACACCTCCAGCTCCCTCAGCTGCTCCACACAAGACTTGTGTGCCAGACCCTTCACCAGCTCCGTTCCTCTTCTCTGGACACACTCCAGCACCTCAATGTCTGTCTTGTAGTGAGGGGCCCAAATCTGAGCACAGGATTCAAGATGTGCCCTTACAAAGTGCCAAGTACAAGGAGACAATCACTGCCCTGATTCTGTGGCCACACTATTTCTGATCCAGGCCAGGATGCCACTGGCCTTCTGGTCACGTGGGCACACTGCTGGTTCATGTTCAGCTGTTGTCGATCAGCACCCCCAGATCCTTTCTCCATTAGGCTGCTTTCCAGCCACTCTGCTCCAAGCCCGTAGCACTGCATGGGGTTGTTGTGACTCAAGTGTGAGACCTGGACTTGGCCTTGTTGAGCCTCGTACCATTGGCCTTGGTCCATCAATCCAACCTGTCCAGATCCCACCGCAGAGCCTTCTTACTCTCCAGCAGATCAACACTCCCACCCAATTCGGTGTCATCTGCAAAGTGACTGAGGGTGCACTCAATCGCCTTGTTTGGGTCATCAATAAATATATTAACAGAACTGGTCCCAATACTGTGACCAGCTGCCAACTCAATGTAAGTCCATTCACCACCACACTCTGGGCTCCACCACGCAGCCATTTTTACCCAGAGATGAGAGCACCCATCCAAGCCAGGAGCAGCCAGTTTCTCCAGAAGAATGCTGTGGGAGACAGTGTCAAAGGCTTTGCTAAAGTCCAGGTTGAAAACACCCACAGCCTTTCTGTCATCCACTATGTGGGTCACCTTATCATAGAAGGAAATCAGGTCAGTCAAGCAAGATCTGCCTTTCATAAATCCATGCTGGCTGGGCCTAATGCCCTGGTTGTCCTGCACATGCCATGTGATGGTACCCTAAATGATCTGCTCCGTGACCTTCTCTGGCACCAAGGTCAGGTTGACAAGCCTGTAGTTCCCCAGATCCTTCTTCTGCCACTTCCTGTAATTTGAACATTTTGCCAACCTCTGGTCAACTGGCACCT